TGCCTTTGCTGATGATCTCCATGAGGGGGTTGAGTTCACCAGCAGCAGATTTGCAGGTGGCACTGAGCTGGGTGTGGGAGTGCTGCAGGGCTGGAGGGCTCTGTAAGGGACCTGCACAGGCTGCATCCAGGGAAATGAGCGATAACAAGTGCAGGTGTGGGGTTCTGCACAGCAGCCAGGCAGAAGGGGACCTGGGGGACAGATGAACAGCAGGCTGGACACGAGCCAGCAGAGTGCCCAGGGGGCCAAGCAGGCTCCAGGCCTGGATCAGGAATGGTGTGGCCAGCAGGAGCAGGGCAGGGATTCTTCCGCTGTGCGAGGCCACACCTCGAGTGCTGTGTCCAGTTCTGGGCCCCTCAATTTAGGAAGGACATGGAGATGCTGGAATGTTCCAGGGAAAGGCAGCAAAGCTGGGGAAGGGTCTGGAACTGAGATCCTGGTAGGAGCAGCTGGGGGGCTCAGCCTGAGCAAAGGAGGCTCAGGGGAGACCTTGTCACTGTCCACACTCCCTGACCAGGAGGGTGCAGCCAGGATGGGTCAGGATCTGCAGCCTGGGAGCAGAGGACAGGAGGACACAGCCTTTCCCACCCTGACTGATTCTGTGATTCTGGGAAATCCTGACCTGTTTGAATAAATCTGCCTGTGCAGCTCTCGTGGTTCCTGTGCCTTCTGCTGCTGAGGGCCAAGTCAAGGTGCTCTGGGTGGATGTGTCACCTCCTCCATGACATTTTCCTTTCTGCCTGGCAGAGAGGAGAGACTCAGGAGAGAAGAGGAGGAGCAGAAGAGGAGGAAATCAGAGATTGCAGAGAAACAGGCCAGGAAAATGGAGGCTTTCCTGGAGGAGAAGGAGAAGGAGGTTCTCCAGCTGCAGGTAAGAGCAGCTGGTGCCTCCTGAGGAGCAGCTTGCCAGAATTCCCTGCCAGGGAGCCATGTGGGAGCCGTGGGATTGTTTTCCACAGATTTCTCAGCTGGCAGCTGGGAACCACAAGCATCAGCACCTTCCAGGGGTGTTGACAGCGCGTGGATGGGAGGGAGCTTGAGCCAGAGCTCTGGGAACAGGCTGGGATAACCCTGAGGGGGACAATCCTTGTGCTTTGCTTCAGGAGGAAGCCAAAAACTTCATCACCCCCGAGAACCTGGAGGCTCGGATCGAGGAGTGCCTGGACAACCCCCGCAATTACAACTTCGCCATCGACAAGGACGGGCGCGTTGTCAAACGCACGGTGCTCTCCTAGCAGCCCTGGCTCTGGTGTCCAGAGCCCCCAGAACACACAGATCCTTCCTTGGAATGTATAAATTGGCCTCAGAAGTGGTGGAGAAAGGCTCTGGCTGTGCTCTGGCTGTGCTGCTTCCAAAGGGTTAATGCTGAGGGAAAGGGGGTGAGGGGAGCTTGGAGGCTGCAGCTCAGCCCTGTTGCTGTGCCTGTGATCCCGCCTCCCACACACAGCATGTGGGGGGAGCAGGAGCAGTCCTGAGGCACAGCCTGGCTCAGCTCCTCGCTGTCAGCTCCTCTGGATGCTTCCAAAGGTAAAGGAGGGCTGAGTGAATTTGTAGGAAACACTGACCTTCCCTTTTTTTTGTTGTTGGGGGAAGGAATTAATTATAATCCTGATTTCACACTTCAAACCCTCCTTTGCACATCCCTTGGTGTGGCTGAATAAGAATGTGTCTGAATGATCCAGGATTTCTGGTGTCTCATTATTCCTCCCTTTACGCTTAATTTATTCATCACCACTGAAAATATAGATAAAATTGTAATGGCTTTGGGTGTTCTGGGTTGTTGGGGTCTTGCAGGCTGTCAGCTTTGTCCTAAAACTTCTGGTTTTGGGCTGAGCCTGGAGTTTGCTGTGTTTCAGCCATGGTCTGCAGGTCCCTCTCCCTCCTTCCCTCCTTCCCTCCCTCAGTTCATTGACCTGAAACTCTCACTTTTTACCTCTACTTTTCCCTAAAAGTATCTTCTTCTCCCAAGCCTGCACCTCAACCCAGCAAGCACACAAAACCCACAGTTTGTTGGGTTGTTTTTCTGTCCAAGTTTTATTTCTAATTAAGCTCAAAGCTCATCACTTCAGTCTGAATCGCAGCCCAGGGTGGGGCTGGGACAGCGATGGATGCAGGATCCTGCAGGTTCTCTCCTGGCTGGGCTACACCAACAGCAGCTCCTGGTCACAGGATGAGTCAGTGCCACAGCCCTCTGAGGGGAGACAGGGGAGAGTGTGGTGTGAAATCAGGCAGCACCCACCAGACCCCAGGGACCCCCCAAAACAGGCCCCAGAGATCCCTGAAACACCCCCAGGGACCCTCTGAACCAGCTCCCAGAGATCCCTGGAAGAGCTCCTAGGGATCCCTGAAACAGCCCCTGGGAACCCCCAAAAGAGCCCTCAAGGACTCCCCAAACCAGCTCCTGGAGATCCCTGAAACAGCTCCCAAAAATCTCGGAAACAGCCCCCAGGAACCCCAAAAACAGCCCCCAGGGACCTTCTGAACCAGCTCCCAAAGATCCCTCAAACAGCTCCCAGAAATCCCTAAAATAGCCCCCCAAGGACCCCCCAAAACAGCCCCCAGGAACCTCTGAACCAGCTCCGAGACATCCCCGAAACAGCTCCCAGGAACCCCCAAAAACAGCGCCCAAGGACTCTCTGAACCAGCTCCCAGAGATCCTGAAACAACCTCCAAAAACAACCCTCAAGGACTCCCCAAAGCAGCTCCCAGAGATCCCCAAAGTAGCCCCCAGAAATCCCCCAAACATCCAGGGACCCCCCCAAAACCAGCCCCCAGAGACCCCCCAGCACTGGGGTTCGATCAGCTCCTGCTCACTCCATTCTTTGATGCTTCCAGGATTTACAGCAGGATCCCTGTCAGTTTAATTTAGGGAATACAGGGTGGGATTTTGAGAAAAACTGATGAGAGCAGATGGGAGGTGGTTCCTGCACTTGCTCAGCCCCCAAAATTTGTTTGCTGTCTGTTTCCCTCTGCCCCAAACCCTCCCAGTCTCATCCCTGGGGTCTGGACTGGTCCTGGAGCGTGCCCTGGCCGGACACACGGATGGGACAAAGAATCCTTGGAGCATCCTCCCCTCTCCCACTATTCTGAGAACCCTGAATTCCCTCCCTGCTGTTCCGGGGCTCGGGACAGCAATCCCGGGATGCCGTGTCGCCCTCACCGGTGCTGCAGCAGATGCCGGGGGCGGCGCAGCTCCCTCCGGAGCCGCAGGGTTTGCGTCCCGACTCGCAGGGCGTGGGCAGGAAGTTTTCCTCCTGGCAGCGCAGCGCCTCCGAGGTGCCGATGTAGCAGCCCAGCTCCTCCCCGCAGCAGATGTTGGGCCCGAAGCAGTGGCCCTTGTTCCGGGGGCCGCAGGGCAGGCACTGCTCGGGGAACAGGGGGAAAAGGTTGGGAGAAGGGAAGGATGGAGTTGGGAGTGCTCCAAGCCCTCCCAGGACTTACCTTCCTGATGTCCATGTCCAGCACAGCTCGTTTGCCCCCGATGGGGCAGTTCTGGATGTAGCAAGCAGAGGAAATAGTCAGGAGCCCCAGGAGGCAGAGAGCCAGAGCCTTGCAGGACATGGCAGCGGGACAGGGGGGATTTGTGGCTGCTCATCCCGACTGCTGGCCCTGTATTTATAGTCCTGGCTCCTGCTTAGGGATTCTGGCACCGGCGTCACCAGTGCTCCTTAAAAACCACAAGGCATTGCTTCCCACAGCACAGGGCTCGGCTAATAGCCAGAGGTCGAGGACGTGAGGTCAAGGACAAGGTGCTGCTTTTCTCCTCAGCGATGAGTCTGGCAGGGACGTGTGGAGGTTGTGGATGGAACTGGATGGACATGCGGAGTTTGTGGATGGAGCTGGATGAACTGGTGGAATTTGTGGACGGAGCAGGATGGATGTGTGGATGTTGCGGATGGAGCTGGATGGACATGTGGGGGTTGTGGATGGAGCTGGAGGAACGTGCGGAGGTTGTGGATGGAACTGGATGGATGTGTGGAGGTTGCGGATGGAGCTGGAGGAACGTGTGGAGGTTGTGGATGGAACTGGATGGATGTGTAGAAGTTGCGGATGGAACTGGAGGAATGTGTGGAGGTCGTGGATGGAGCTTGAGGAACACGTGGAGGTTGTGGATGGAGCTGGATGTATGTGTGGAGTTTGAGGATGGAGCTGCATGGACGTGTGGAGTTTGTGGATGGACGTGTGGAGTTTGTGGATGGAGTCTGGGCTTGGGCCCCTTCTCTGGCAGCCCCTTTGGGCTGCTGAGCTGTGGTGTGTCCCACTGGGAACCCCTCTGGCATGGAGAGGGGAGGGATGAAGGAAGGCAGCTGGAGGTGGGATGTGTCCATCAGGAGTGGGGTGAGAAGGGTGTGTGCTTCCCTTGGCTTCAAATCCCTTTGGGTGGGAGGAAGCAGCCCCGTATCCTCTGGGATCATTCATGGGAATGTCCTTGTTGGCCCTGGCCTTTGGGGGATGCTCTGCACTGCGTTATCCTTCTCTGGGATAACAGTGACACCCAGCCCATCCTCACCCACTTTCATCCCACAGCTCCAAAGCCACCTGAGAACACCAAACCTCCTGGGCAAAGGCCTGAAATCCCAGATTTCCCCACTGCTTCTCCTTGGAGCTGCACACAAGGATTCAGGATGGTGTCCTGAGCCCCATCACCATCAGACAAAGCCCCCCCTCCTCCTCCCTGAGAAGCAGAGCAGAGGATGAGGCCGAAGGCTGACGCAACCACCCAAGGTCCTGCTCACCCCGGCCCCTTGCCTTCCTTATCCCAATTAGGAGCTTCCAGCTTGAATAAATTTCCCTGCTGAGGACAAACCTTGACGTCCACTGAGATCATTACCCTGCACTGCCTTAATTGGGAATTAGGCAGCCCAGAGCTGGACAGCCATGACCTTTTCCTGTCCCTCTGGCTTGCTTCAAAATCCACCACTTAGCGAGGCTGCCACGAGGGCAGCCAGGTCCCTGTCACCCAGCCTGGTTCAGGGCCAGTCCCTGGGGACAAGGCAGGCACTGGCATCCATGGAAATGGCTTGGAAATGGGGCTCAGCTGTCCCAGCAGCTCAGCTCTGGCTGCAGCATGGCATGGAGGGAGGGAATTGTCATCCCAAAGCCCCTGTGGCTGCTCCAGGGGTGCTCAGACCCCTGCAGGATGTGTCTCAGGTAGAAAAATGGGGGAAACCCCCAGTTATCAGCCCCTGGTACTTTTTGGGGACTGGATTTTTGCCTGATTTTGAGGTGACAGAGCAGTCCCAGCTCAGCTCTACATTCCCAGTGCTGCAGGAATGCTGGGGGTTCACATCCTGCATCTTGGAAAATCCAAGTCCTGGAGCTGGGCTGAAAGCCCCGTTCCCTCATCCCAGTTTGGAGTCCCTCATCCATGCTGGTGTCACCCCTTTCCCAAAGATTTTGAGGAGATTTGGGGTTTGCCCCCCTTCCCCAGGGCTGGGATCAGATGCTGGATGTGGGAAGCAGGTCCTGGATCGATCCTACAGGTCCTGGATCAATCCTACAGGTCCTGGATCAATCCTGGAGGTCCTGGATCAATCCTGCATCCCCTGGATCGATCCTGCAGTTGCTGGATCAATCTTGCAGGTCTTGGATCGATCCTACAGGTCCTGGATCAATCCTACAGGTCCTGGATCAATCCTGGAGGTCCTGGATCAATCCTGCATCCCCTGGATCAATCCTGCATCCCCTGGATCGATCCTGCAGTTGCTGGATCAATCTTGCAGGTCTTGGATCGATCCTACAGGTCCTGGATCGATCCTGGAGGTTCTGGATCAATCCTGCAGGTCCTGGATCAATCCTGCATCCCCTGAGGGCACAGGGAGTGTCTCTGATCCTGCTGGAGTCAGGGAGCTCCACCTCCCGGCAGGCGCCACCTCCCTCAGGGACACTATAAAGGACAAGCTGTCCCCTGTGCCCTGGCCAGTGCCAGCCTGGAGAGACCTCGGAGCCAGGACCCTGCAGGGTAAGCGAGCCGGGAGAGGGTGGGGATACCCCAAATCCTGGGGGTGACTGTGGGATAACGGGGACTGATCCTCCCTGAGGGTGTCCAGAGGGGATGGGGAAAGATGGGACCAGCCCTGGTGGGGTCTTTGGAGCTGGGAGCCCAAACCTCTCTGCTCTTGAGGGATTTGGGGTGCTTTTTCCTTTTCCTGACTTTTTATCGTTTTTAGTGGATGCTGTGCTGATTGCTGAAGGCAGCGAGGCCCCAGATCTGCCCCAAGGACGGGCTTGGCCACGAGGTAAGGTGACAGTGCCACATCCCAGCTGTCCCCACTCCCCTGGGGCTGGGAGTGCTGCTGGGTGGGACCCCATGGCCAGATCCCAAATTCCAGCTCTGCCTGGGAGCTGAAAGGACAGAGCCCAAATCCTGCACCCAGCCCAGCCAAACCACTGCACTCTGTGGGGATCTGGGGACAGAAAATCCTCCAGCACCCCCATCCTGAGCCCCAGCCACATCCCCAGGATTTGGGGACAGAAGCCCACCCAAAATCCCCTTCCTGACCCCCACCCAGACCCCATGGTTGGATCTGGGGACAGAAGACCCTCCAATATCCCTTTCCCGTGCCTCAGCCAGATCCCATGGTTGGATCTGAGTTCAGAAGATCCTCCAGCAGCCCCATCCTCAGCCCCCAGTCACATCCCCTGGATCTGGGGACAGAAGAGCCTCCAAAATCCCCTTCCTGAGCCCCAGCCAGATCTCCTGGATCTGGGGACAGAAGGTGCCGCAGCACCCCCATCCTGAGCCCCAGCCAGACCCCCTGGAGCCCCCAGGAGCCGCCCCCAGTGCCCAGGACGAGGCCACCACAGTGCACGAGGGCTTTTATTGGGTCAGGTATGTACAGAGCCGAGCTGGGGGGTCTGTCAGGGTAAGGGGGGGCTCCCCACGCCCTGGCTCAGAGCAGGGGGTGCTTGCCCTGCTGCTGCTGCTGCTGCTGCTGCCGGTTCGCCAAGTGCATGAGCTTGAGGAGCAGATCCCCG